ATGGCATTCCCGCGCTCAACACAAACACAAGCACAAGGTGATTGCTGCCTCATCAGAAATGTTGCCTCCTCATAGAACAAAGAGTCGAAACAAGTGAAACAGCGTGACTAGATTCAGGGTGCAATTCCTGGCCCTCTTGTCCCCCCCACGCCCGCCAGGGGCTTTCCGATGCCCTAACTTCCTGTCTGGGATTGGTAATCCTTCCCAAGGGAGGCCAGAAGTGGCAGGCAAATCTGCCAGGGTGGGAGGGAACCAAGACCTGGCTCATCCTCAACTCCTCACAGCCCAGTCCGATGTGCATTGGGAATCCCGATGCACCAGGTCCCTCCCTGATGGTCTCCAGATGTGCTTACATCTGGGAAGGCCACCCCAGGAAGCTGATGTTCTGCCACAGTTCCCACCCCGGATGGCTTTCTCCTCCAGTGGCCAGGCCCTTGAGCCCAGGGGCTACAGGCACTCCTTGCTTCTCCAGAGGTAGGTGAACCACAGCAAAGCTGGAGGGGGGGAGGGTAGAGGGAGGGGAGATCGGAGGGGCGGGGAGGACAGACAGTAATGGAGCAAGGGGGTGGAGCAGGGTGCTGGTGAGCAAATAAAATGAGATCAATGCTTAGGACACCCCAGAGATCTTATTCCCTTCAATTCCCTATCTGGAGTTGTTCCTTTTTGTTTTGTTTTGTTTTGTTTTGTTTTTTAAAACTGTCTTTTTTTTTAAAGATTTATTATTTATGCATACAGCAACTGGGGTACAGGCCAGAGGTGGGGTGGTGAGAGGATTCACCAGAGACAGAGTGGGGAGAAGAACAGGCAGACTGACCGAAGTACACTGCTGAGGGGAGCAGCGGGTGAGCCAGGAGAGGTCTGCTGCGCCATGTGGGTAGCTCCATGGCCGGGGATCCAACTCCTGCTGCAGTGGCTGCGGACAGCTTCATAGGTTGCGTCTTAACCCCTGCGCCACCAGGGAGGCCCTGGAGTTGTTCCTTTATGCTGTAGAGTCCTGTTGCCTCAAAAATTGCTAGGAGGAAAAAAAATAGAAAGACCCGAGAGAGTTTAGAATAGAAGACCAGAGTTGTCAATGGGTAAGTCTTTCCCATTGACCTGCTAGTTTGAGGCCCTGGTGTTATATAATGTTTTACCCTGGTGTGCTCTCAGCCCTCCCCTGTCCCATCACTGTAAACCCCACCCCTTCCTGTGAACCCTGTCCTGCCTCTCTCCAACCTAGCCCAGCCTGAAAAAAACTCCTTCTCTGGTCCCTCCAGAGATATCTGGGCGCAATCTCAATCTCCGGGAGCACTGACAGAACCCAAGCATATTTCCTCCAGTCTGGTCTTGCCACCGCCACCAGGATAGACATCTGTCATCTACCCCTCCTGTGCTCTGAGCAAAGTGGGCATGGAAAAGGGAAGGGAGTCTGGGTTTATTTCAGATCTGGGGTGCGGGGGAAGGGTCACTTCCGGGTCAGACTGGGAGTGGGGTGGGGGACGGTGACTCACAGATGATGGAGCCATCAGCTTCCCCAGGAGAGACCTGAGTCAGGGCAGCAACAGCCCACGGCTTACGATGAACTGCTTCTGCACTTTCCAACTTCTTTCTCTCAGACACACTCAGAGCAAAACCCCAACTTCCACAGGGTCTGGACTCAAACTCCTGGTATCACAGGTTGGGACGTTTTATATCACAAAGACCTCATTCAACCTAAGCCACCCAACAAGGCTCAAGTTAATTCATGGAAGTCAGAACTAACAATGGGGTGGGAAATGCAAGAGCTTTGGAGCCAGTTGGGATTGTGTTGGGATTCCAGGTCTGCCCCTTTCGTGCTGTTGATCTTGGCTTAATCACTCCACTCTGAGTATGGCTTTCCTAACCATACGATGAGGAGCTTAATTCCTTTAGTACTGGGTAGTGGGGAAGATTAAATGAGATAAAGGCAGTTTGAAGGTCAAGCCCAGGGTCTAGGGTCTAGCATATGCGAAGGAAACTATGTCAAGGCTCCCCACCTTGCTAGGGGGAAAGGATGTCCTGAGCTAATCCCATTCCGATTTTGTGGGCGCCACCCCCACTCCAGACTAAAGCCATCAGGACATTGGGAAAGACAAATCCCGTCACCACCAAAGGGAGGGTGGCTGGGACCTGAGGGTGGAGTTAAGCAGCCAGGTTGGGTATAAAAACCAAACACGTGGGCCTTGGGGGGCTCGCTGTCGCTCCCCTCCCTGCTTCACGGCTCCTGGCTTGCAGCTGGCTCTCAGAGTGCCATTTTGGGATTCCAGATCGGGGGATCGGGTAGGACGCATTTAAACCTTTGTCTCCCACTTTTCTCCCAGAGCTGTACATTTCCTCATTTGCCCTTCCCTTGTAAATAAACCTTTTATGAACCTTTCGCGTGTGCCTGCAGTAGAGCATTGGTAAGTCCTTTTAAGCGCGCGGGTGAGGACCCAAAGTCAGGCACCCCGTTTTGTATCAGGGCTGCTCTACAACAACCTCTCTCGCATCCTGTTGAAACCCATCACCCGTGGGTCCTGGTGGTCGGTGTTACACCTCTATCCTGAAAACTCTTCCTCCGGTTCTGAATCTTCACCCTCGGGCAAGCAGACCGGTGACAACAGGAGAGTGTCCTGCCCTCGCGCTTCACCCCGCTACCTCTCTGGTAAGCAGACCATGATTAGTAATCGTCGGTCACCAGCAAATCATTGCAACTGAGCAGGGAGGAAGAGAGAATACCAAAAAGGTGAGATCTGAGAGAGAAAACAGAGACACTTGGAGACACACAGGCGGGGTCAGAGAGAAGCTGAGATACACAAGTTCAAAAAAATCTAAGAGGAGACAGAGACAGCAGGCTAACGGAAGTTCCAAACGCTCCAGGAACTAGTTAGCTAGGTCCTTGGACAAGTCACTTCATCCTTCTAACCCATTCATTCCCTCTTCTGAAAGAGAGGGCTGGGCTGAGGACCTCCGAGGCCCTCCTCCTGGCTGGCCTTTCCAAAGCAGCTTCCAGACCTGAGGACTGAGCTGAAACAGCTCTAACCGAGAGAGAACCCCAAGTTCAGGGCCGAACAAGACCCCAGGAAGGAAGGACCAGGCAAAGGCAGGCATCCTGCGAGGGAAGGCAGAAGGTGTTGGGGCCACGGGGAGAGGACTTATAAGGGCAGAGAGAGCCAAGAGAGGAGGGATATTGGGGAGAGTAGAACAGCTAGCCAGAGAATGACTAAGGGGCTCCCGGTGTAAACAGGAGCAGAGAATGGGCAGGGAGAGGGCCTGTTTGAGTTGGCCAAGCCTGGGGGGTGTGGGAGGGGGAGGCGGGACTGGGGCAGGACGCTATGTCCCCTGTCCCCCACAAGACTCCCAGGAGAAGCTGAGTCACAGACCTCCCTCCCTGTACCCCTCCCTGCCCCCACCAGAAGCTCCCAAATCCTGGGAAAATCTGAAAAGCTTGTGCCTGGGCTGGAAAAGGAGAGCCCCAGGTCACACACATGTGCTCTGCTGTGTTTCCTGAGCAGGGAGCGCAAGCCTCTCCTCCCAGAGCGGGTCTCAGCCCTGGCCTGAATCCATTTCACCTAGAGGTCGCCTTTGCTGAGCTCAACATCCAGATTGGGAGGTTCCTGGGCTCCCCACCTAAGGAAAGGTCGGGCCTGCCTGAGAGCGTTAGGGGCCAGCACCCCCACAGGCTGACTGGCTGGCCTCTCCCTGGGGCCGCAGCTGGCTCTGGAGAGGGGCTCCAGAAACAGCTGGGTGACTCGGGGCAGGAAGCAGAGCCGCAGAGAGGAGGAGACTCCTGGCAAGGGAGCAGCACTGACTCTGGCCATTTTTTATTCTGAGTCCCCTAGGTCTGAGAGGGGTGTGTGTGGTGGCGGGGAGGGGGTGGCAGAGAGGAGCCTGGTTTGATTTGGGGGTGATTATTCTGAAAAGAAAGGGGGCCTGGAGGGAGAAGGCAGGAAGAGGGCTGGAAAGCAGAGGTTAGGAGAGACTCTAAGCCCCTCGGCCCCCCTCCCCTCCCCCCGACGAAGATAAAGACTAGAATCCTGAAAGGTGATCTCATCCCAGAGTCAGGGCTGGGGGAAGGGGGCGCGGGGGGTCACTGCCTTCCCGCTGCAACCACGAGGGCTCAACGGAGAGTGGGATCCTGGGGTCCAGCTCCCGGAGCCTAAAAACAAAAAAGCAAACAAAAAACCCTAAAGGCTGGGCCTCTTTACAAGACGGCACCAAGGCCCCACCCCCCAGTTCTCCAGGTCTGCGGGGAGCAGGTCAGGGTGGTGGGGAAGCCCCCGCGGCGCGCCCACCTCCCTGCCCTCCAGGCTGCCCTGCCAGGTGCTGCCAGGCGGGCGCGCGCGGGGGCTCCCCTGCCGGCCACCGGGGAGGGGAGGACCCGGGGCAGGAATCCCCTGCTGAGTCGCCCCAAACTCCTGAAGGCTCAATTCCAGCAGTGGGGGGGGAGGGGTGCAACTCTGGGGAGTCCTTCTGGGTCCTGGACCAGACCGGGCCGTCCCGGAGCAGCCGGCGGAAGCCGGGGCGCCCGCGGCCCCGGGAGGCGAGGGAATCCCAGCTGGCCCGGCGCCCGCGGAGTCTCCGTCCCGCGCCCCAGAACAGGCGAGGGCGACCCCACACACTCAGACAGGCCCCTCCGCGCGCAGAGGTGATTCCTTCCCTCATTAGGAAATTCTCCGCTCCCTTTTTCCGACTCCTTTTCCGAGCGTTTACGTTGCGCATCTGGAGGGAGGAGGGGGGCGGGGGGGCGGGAGGGGGAGCGCCCCAACCCGCCCAGTCCGGCCCAGTCCGGGCTAGCGGCCTCGGGCGCGGGCTGGGGAGCCGGCCCTGAAGAGGTGCGGCCCCCCCACGCCCCTTCGGGGTGGGGGGCGCGGGCTCGGCGCCCCGAGGGCCCGGGGTGCCCCCCCGCGCACCCCACCGGCGGGCGGGGGGAGGGCGCAGCGGCGAGGCTGCAAACTCCTCCCCGCGTTGAGTCATTCGCCTCCGGGAGGTTTAGGAAGCGCCGGGTCGGTGGCCCCGGGACAGGGAGGAGCGGCGCGATGGGGAGCCGCACGCCCGCGCCCCCGCTCCGCGCCGCGCCGCTCGGGGGCCCCCGGCGCCCCCCGCCGCTGCTGCCGCTGCTGCTGCTGCTGCTGCCGCCCCGGGCCGGGGGCTTCAACCTGGACGCCGAGGCCCCGGCGGTGCTGGCCGGGCCCCCCGGCTCCTTCTTCGGCTTCGCCGTGGAGTTCTACCGGCCCGGCGCCGACGGGTGAGCGCGGGGTGCGGGCGCGGGGTGCGGGCGCGGGCGGGGGCGCGGCCGAGCCCCGGGGCCCGCGGCGGGAGGCGGAGTCGGGGGCCGCGCCGGGGCCGGGGGCCGCGCCGCGGGGGGACAGCGGCCGGCGTGGCGGGGCCGGGCCGGGCCGGGCCGGGGGCGCCCCGCGCCGCGCGGGCCCCGACGCCAGCTGGACGCCGGGGAGTCTGGGCAGGGCAGGGCGGGAGGGGGCGAGGGAATGCGAAGCGGGGGACCCGCTGAGGTCTGTGAGCCCGGGGAGCCGAGACGGGTGGGGACGGGAGGGGCGCAGAGGCCAGGAAGGGTTTGGGGGCCGCTGGGGGACCCGGGACCCGTGAGGGCCATTGTGCTGAGAGGCAACGGGCCGAAGCCAGAATGGACTGTGCGTCAAGGTGGAGACTGAGGGGTGCGGAGGTTAAACGGGGGCCACCTCACCTTCCCCTCCCCCCTCAGCTCAGACTGGGGGAAGACCCGGGAGCAGGACCCGGCTGGCCCCCTCTCCGCGCCCCCCCAGGCTCCTGCCGCCGCCCCCAGCTCTGTTGAGATGGGGGCTTGGGGAGCCCCGGGACCCCGGCGCTCGGGGGCGCCGTGGCTGGGGGCGGGCTCAGCCCGGGGCGGGTGCTCGGGTGTCGGGAGGGGTGTGTGCGCGCGAGCGTGGAGGGGGGTGGGCGGCTTCCCTCTTCCTCCAGCTCTGGGAGGAAGAGAAAAGCTGATTTCCTGTGGCTCGTCGGCTGGAGCTGCGCTGAGACCGGGATTCTGGGGGCTGGGGTCGGAAGTTGGGGAGACACAGCCTCGGGGCTCCGGAGCCTCAGAACACAGGCCTGCAGGGAACTGGGGCTCAATCCTGGGTCCTCCTTCCCCTCAGCGGGGTGACAAGCAGACCTCAGCGCCTGGAAAATGGGCAGCCGAGGTCTTGGGGGAATCAGAGTCAGCTCCGAAGCAACTTTTTAAACAAGGGTGTTTGTTTAGTCGCGGGGGGCTGGGAAGTCAGAGGGGAAAGCGGCTGCTCCTGCACGGGCCAGGGACTCCCCACGCCAGGTTTCACAATAACCAGAGTAACTGTCTTTCTCCTGCATCTCTGGGGGCCGCGCCTCCCCTGCTCCCCCACCACCGCCCCAACCCCTAGAATCTCAGGGTCTGATTCTCCAGTCGCTGTCAGGGGTGAGCTGCTTTTACACGTGACACAGTGACCTGGTCTCTACTCAATTTCTTTAATTTTTGAAGAAAAGGGGCTGATCTAGCTTCATTCACTAGAGGAAGTGGGGCAAAATTCTCCTTTGTCTGAAGGACTTGGGGATGGGATAAAAGAAAGTTCGTTAGGCCCCAGCTGTTGGCTCCAGGCTATTCAAGGTCCCCACCCAACCCCCACCCCACCCCCCCTGGCCTCTTGCCCAAACCCCATTGCATCACCCTGGCCTGGAGCCTCTGCCAGGCAGGGCCTCCCCCAGGCCCCCTCAACTGCTCACCACAACCCTAATGGAGTGGAGTAGGGTAAAGAGGGAGGGTGGGCTCTGCCCCCACCTTAGGGCATCCATGTAATTGACTAGCTTTCAGCTTTCTTATCACCCACTCCCCCAGTGCACACGCATGCATGCACACACACACACGCACACAGGCACACAGACACACCTCCAGCCCCACCTCTAAAACATCTGTACTTTCACATACTTCGAGTTCCCTAGCTGTCCAGCCCGTGGCTCTCCTGCAGCTCCAAAGCCCTCTCCTCAAGCGGGACCCACCTTGTCCCCCTCTCCCTGCTCCTTCTGCTCAGGTCTCCTCCCAGGAGAACCCAGGTGTCCAGCTTGCACTCCACCCACTTTCATTTTCTCTTGACAACAAGCTCTGCAGTAGGGCTCTAAATAGTCCACCTGCCCCATGACCTCCCTGCCCCCACAGCTGGGCCTTCAACCTTGGAGCCTAGTCTTCTCATGAAAATCAGACACCTGATGTATGAGGCTGTTCTGAGAACTGAACACTAAAGGAGACCGTTTATAGGAAAGATACTGGTCCAGAGAGAGGATCGATACCAAGGACACACGGGGTGGTTATTTTCTGTTCCTCTCCTCCCTGAATACCACCTAGTTCTTTGTCTAAGTTTTCCCCATTTCTTACTTGCTTTTAGTGCTTGCCTGTAGCAGTGACAGTAATTAGAATCCCTCAGTCCTCGACCCTTCCTCATCAGTTTTTCATTGGCTCATTACAAAAATCCTTGCGTTAGGTAAAGAAAGCATAGTTTGTATACCATATGTATGCCAAAACCTCAGGAGCCATCGAAGTTGATTTAGAGGCCATTCAGAGGCACACCATCATTTTGTGGGTGGAGAACCCACCCCCTGGAGAGATGAGGTGACATTGCCCAGGGCACAGACTTGAATGGTGGACCAGCCACAGCCAGGTTCCTTATTCCCGCTAGTATTGCCATACACTGAGGCAACCCCTCCTCCCCAGCCAGCCAGACATAGTCCGTGAGAACGCTCTGGACACCCAGAACAAGGTATCCTCCACTGCTGACCAAGTAGGGCCTGGGCCCTGGTCCATCTTACTTTCCACCCCTGACCTTGTCAGGCCAACAGAGTCAAACAATAACCATGTATTGAACAGGAACTTGGTTAATCAGAAGCCTGGCTGGGGAGATAGTGGAGAGGCGAGCGGGGGACAACGGGCAGCAGGGTAGACCAGAACACTAATAATCACGATTCCCGACTGCTGGTCCTTAGGTTGAAAAGGATTCCGAATGACTTTGGACATGTTTCTTAACTTCTCTGGGACTAAGTTTTCCCATCTGCAAAATGAGGATGTAGGGGGCCTCCCTGGTGGTGCAAAGGATTAAGTCTCAGCACTGTGAAGCTGTCCGCAGCCACTGTAGCACGAGTTCGATCCCTGGCCAGGGAGCTACCCACATGGCGAGGCAGACCTCTCCTGTCTCGCCCGCTGCTCCCCTCAGCAGTGTCTTCGGTTTGTCAGCCTGTTCTGCTCTCCACGCTGTCTCTGGTGAATCCTCTCACCCCCCACACCTCTGGCCTGTACCCCAGTTCTTGTGTGCATAAATAAATAAATCTTAGGGGGAAAAATGACGACGTGGGACAAGGTCAGCAGTTTTTTTAATTGAAATGTTTTCTTTCCTTTTTTTTCCATTCCAATGCTATCTTACCAGGGCATTCTATATAAAACAGGGAAAAGAGATTGTTCTAAAAGACGGAGAGAGGGTCAGGACCAGACCAGCCTCCCTTACCCCACGGGGCAGCCCTAGGGGTCTACACACCAAAGTCTTCAAGCCAGCAGATGCTTTCTTGGGGACCTTCAGCCAGTTTGTCTCGCCAAGGACCAACTGTAGAATTTCAGGGTTCTGAAGCTCAAAAAAAAAAATTATGGCAGTTATTTTTTCCCAGGGACTCTGTTTCGAAAGTTTATCTGCTGACCTGCATTTAGTAGGGAATAATTAATTCCCTTTTTCTATTTTTTATCAACTCAAAGTTAGAACAAGACATCCAGAGCTGCCAATCAGAGCTTCTGACCAGCATGAGATAACCAGGTTCCCCCCAAGAGTTGATATAATTCCAGCCAAAAGTAAATACACTTGAGGTTTTAATTAGCCCAGGCTGCCTTATCAGGTAAATGCATGATTTCCGTCAGGCTTTCTGAAATATTGAAAATAGCCCAAGGACCCTCCATTGTTACCTTCTTGGACCCCAAAGAGGGCCCAAGGGCTGCACAATTTGGGAAGCAGGGACTAAGGGACAACCTGGATAAGCTGTGTGATGCGCCGCCCCTGAGCCAAGCGACTTGCTTGCTGTGAGGGAAGGCACCGTTGAACTGACACAGGGCAGCTGGGATGGAAGGGCCAGGCCCCTGGGGGGCAGGTCTGGGTCTGTGCCCCTCGCCTGCATGCAAGACCTCTGAATCCACCACACAACCAACAGTGCTGATGCCCCTGGTGCACAAGCTTTGTAAGGCCTCTCTCTTCCCAGCCCTGCCAAACTCCAAGATAATTCAAGGCACCCCAGGCAGGGCACGTTGGAGTAGGAGCAGGGTCCCTTGGCCTCAGCCCTGTGCTCTCCTGGAAACAGCGTATCAGAGCTCCAGGAAACTTCACCTGAGAAAGCAAAGGGGCACTCCCAAGTTCACCCTGAGCTAGTGTCTGACCCAGAACTCCCAGGGCCTGGTCCAGGGATCTTTTCCCTGCCTCCTGCACCACAGCAGCCCGCAGTACCAGCTCAGATCTCCAGGGCTGCCCTTGCCAAGGGAACTTGGCACTCCTCTCCCCCACCCAGCCCTGGGGCAACGCAACCTCTAGCCACCACCAATCCCACCCCCTGATTTGTCAGTTGGCAACTGACTTCAGAGTGGCCAACTCCCACTCCCCAGCTGGATGCAAAGCCTAAATGAGAGGCGTGGGGCCCGGTGGGTGGGTGGGAGACAAACGGAGAAGTGAGAGGTTGGAAACAGACAGGAAGCCACAGGCAGTAAACATTTCCTGTCCCCAGGGTAACTAAGGCTGGCACCCCACCCCCATCCCTCCAGGAGCTCAGCCCTGCAGGCCCCCTCCTCAGGAGCCTGCTTTCTCCCTCTTCTAGTCTCATCCGCTGTCCTTCCCAGACCACCCCTCACTCCTTACCTCGGTTCCCCTCGCCCGGCTCCCTCTGATGTTCCCATCCCCTATCCTTTTGTCACCCACCCCACCCCACCCCGATATTTTGTGTCCTCTACCATTATTCCCCATGCTTTCCCGGTGAGAGGCCAAGGAAAATACCCCCCAAAGAGCAGGGAAGAGTGGGTATTCCAAAAGCTGAAGGAGGAGAGAGGCCCAAGTTCTGAAATCAAGAGAGAATGAACCCAAAAACCAAAACAAAGAGCAAGCAGCCATGGGGCAGAGATCAAGAGGTAGCACCAGGGTTGCCTGGTGGCGCAGGGGTTAAAGACAGTGCCATCAAGCTACTGCCAGCCACTGCAGCATGAGTTCGATCCCCGGCTGGCCAGGGAGCAACCCACATGGCGCAGCAGACCTCTTCTGACTCGCCCGCTGCTCCCCTCAGCAGTGTGTTTCAGTAGATCTGCCTGTTCTGCTCCCCACTCTGTCTCTGGTGAGTCCTCTCACCACCACCACCCCCACCTCTGACTTATACCCCCTTTTCTTGCATGCATAAATAAATAACTCTTAACAACAACAAAAAGTAGTAGCACAAAAAGGCAGAAATGGGAGGAGATTATATGTCCCAAGGCCCGCAGGGACACCGGCCCAAGGTCTGGGTCTGGGGTCGACGGCAGCCGTGGCCCTGGATGCGGACCTCAGGGAGACCTGCGGGAGAAAGCCAAGAGGGCTGACAGCTGTGCAGAGGCCTTGAAGGCAAGGGCCCCAGGACTGGTACAGGCAGAGTTGAAGGCAGGGGATTGCCCAGGACCTAAACTCCCAATTCCTCCCCACTCCTCTGTTAGGTGGGGCCCGTCAGCCTTCTCATAGTCTCGTGGGGAACAGAGGCACCAAGCTCAGAACCAAGACCTCAGTAGAAGAGGATCTGAATTGAGACTTGTGGGAGTGGCGGTGGGTTCCGGGGTGGAGATTGAGACCAGCCAGCAGTCATGGCAGGAGGTCCGCAGCAGGCCCAGGGTGAGGGCAGGCCCAGGCCCAAGGGAACAAGCTGTTTTCACCACCCTCCGGCTCCTCTCCCGGCTTCTTCTGCCCGATTTCCAAGACTCACATTTTCCTCCTACACGCCCCGGGGCTGGGCAGCCGGACGCCTGGGTCTTGGCCCAGGGAAGGACTTTGGCTCGGGACAGACAGGGACAGGCTAGGTGAGCGGGTAGGGGACTGTGCGGCCATCGGGAGGACGGAGGAGCAGGCCTCTGGACCCCCCCAGCCCCTCTCCCTGAGCCCAGCCCTGACTCTGGTTCCCCTCTCTACAACAACTGGGGGCCCTAGGAGAAGGGGAGCCTGCTGCAAGAGGAGAGGGCTTGTTAGTGACAGCGGCACATGGGGACCGCCTGACTCCAGCCCGGTGCCTCCGGCATCCGTGGCATCCTCTGAGATATAAATACAACCAGGGGGCATCCACCCCGCCCCCAGCCAGCCCCACGCCGAGGCCTGGGTCCTGTGGGCCTGGCCTGGGAGAGGGGCCTGGAGCCGCCCTGAATGCCCCTCCTGCCCCCCACAGGGTCAGCGTGCTGGTGGGAGCGCCCAAGGCCAACACGAGCCAGCCGGGCGTGCTGCAGGGGGGCGCTGTCTACCTCTGTCCCTGGGGCACCAGCCCGGCACAGTGCACCCCCATTGAATTTGACAGCAAAGGTGAGCCCTGGGGTCCCGGGAAGCGGGGGGGGGGGGGGGGGGGGGCCTGCCGGTCCGGGGCGCGCGCCCCTCGACTCTCGGGGCTCCTGCTGCAGCGAGCGCGGCCCCCGTGGCACTCGCGCCGCGTTCCCGGCCCGGCTCCGGCCAAGCAGGGCGGGCATGATTCAGAAACATGTGGCTCTCATTTCCCCTGAATCACCCACAATTCAGGGAGGCCAGGGCAGGAACAGACAAAGACGGGGAGAGTCACACGGAGATTTGATTCTTGCCACCGAGCCCCGACGGGGCGTGCGCCCGGGGCTGCTGGGGCTGCGCGGGCCCGGGGGCGGGGGGCGGGGGCGGGCGCCCGCGGGGACCCCAAGGTCACTAGATGCAGGCGCAGACGGGGCAGCTGCCGGGGCGGGAGACGAGCTGTAACTCCCAACCCCACAGACCTCGCTGTGTTGTAAGCACTTCGGGAAGTTCCTGACTGCAGGAAGTAGTATCACCCCCATTCTGTAGGTGAAGAAATGGTTAAGGAACTTGTCCAAGGTCACACTGCTGGCAAGTGGTGGGCAGAGGACATGAACTTGAGCATGTGACTGCAGACAGAGAGAGGGGTGAGACGAGGACAGAAAGGGGAGCATGCAAGGGTGGACACTGTGGCCTTCTGGGGAGCCGGAGGAGAAGACCCTGAGCAGCCTGGCCCCAGGGGGGCAGAGAGGGGCTGGGAAAGAGCCCACAGTCTGGTGCAGTGAGAGAAATGGAGACAGAAGGGGCAGACCCCGGGTGTGAGCAAGCGGTGGACCGGGCGCCCTTGGAGAGACAGGCCCAGGGACAGAGAATGCACCCTAGGGCACCGCCCTGTTCCCCACTGTCTTCCTGGCAGCACCCCACCTCCAGCGCCCTATTCCTGCTGGGTGAGGAGGCAGGGAGACCAGGGGAACACTGCGCAGAGACCCCAGATTCTGTGTGCGGGTGTGCATTAGGGAAGGGCTGAGCCAGCCTGCACAGAGCAGACTCCAGAGACCCTCCCCGCTCCTCCCGCAGTCCTGGGCCCAGCTCCCAAGGTCTTAGGTGCCCCCAGGCTGAGGTGGGGCCTGCTCTAGGGCATAACCCCTCTGTGTCCTCTCCCAAGGCTCCCGCATCCTGGAGTCCTCGCTGTCCAGCTCCGAGGGGGAGGAGCCGGTGGAGTACAAGTCCCTGCAGTGGTTCGGGGCAACGGTTCGAGCCCATGGCTCCTCCATCTTGGTGAGGGGCCCCAGGCTCTGTGGTGGGGGGTTAGGGGGGGGCCCAGGCCCGGGGGAGGGAGGAGAGAGCCCTGTTGGACCCAAGCTGAAGCCCCCACTCCTGGCCCAGGCCTGTGCTCCGCTGTACAGCTGGCGCACGGAGAAGGACCCGCTGAACGACCCGGTGGGCACCTGCTACCTCTCCACGGACAACTTCACCCGCATCCTGGAGTATGCGCCTTGCCGCTCAGGTAGGGCCCGTGCCGTGTCTGCCTTCTCCTGTGCGTCTCTGGTGCGCTCAGAGCCCCACGCCCCGGCACCGCATTAGCCTTTCTGCTCACGGGTCCGCAGCCTTTTCCTGGCTCCCCAAGCCCCTCTCCCCCGCGGGCCCACCGAGTGGTGCTCCCTCCCACCACCCTCTCCCCCACAGATTTCAGCTGGGCAGCAGGACAGGGCTACTGCCAAGGGGGCTTCAGCGCTGAGTTCACCAAGGTGAGAGGGGAAGTGGCTGTGGGCGGGGGTGCAGGGGACTCGAGACCAGGTGCTGGACTCACATCTTCCTCCCCGCTACCCCCCAGACTGGGCGTGTGGTTCTGGGAGGCCCAGGAAGCTATTTCTGGCAAGGTAAGTCCTTCCTCCACCGCCCTGCAGTGTCCTGGCTGGGCCCTCGGCCTCCCACCCCAGCTCCTGCTCTGGGATCACCATCTGCCCTCCCCCGACCCTGCTCCGATTCTTCTCTCCCTTTCTGGAGACTCGCCTGTCTTCTTGGACCACCTTCCCTTCCATGAACCACATTTCTGAATTTCTGACATCCCATCCAGTCAGCCCTAATGCCGCCCCACCACCCCACCCCTGGCCACCTCCATCCGCCCCATCCTCATGCCCTCCCCAGGCCAGATCCTGTCCGCCACCCAGGAGCAGATTGCAGACTCCTACTACCCCGAGTACCTGATCAACCTGGTGCAGGGGCAGCTGCAGACTCGCCAGGCCAGTTCCATCTATGATGACAGCTACCTGGGTGAGGAGCAAGGGGGGAGGCACCGGCAGCCGGAGCAGCGCAGGACCCTTGTCCCTGCTCACCCCATGTGTGTGTGCCGCCCCCCCTCGGCATCCCCAGCCCCTCTGCCTCCCTCGCCGTGGGCAGGCTGTGAAGGCCCAGTCCCGGTGGGCGAGGGAGGGAGGCCAGGGCAGAGGGGTTCACAGCAGGAACCCTAATATCCACCCCCCACCCCTCCCTCCAGGATACTCTGTGGCCGTGGGCGAATTCAGTGGCGATGACACAGAAGGTGAGTGTGTCCACACGCCGGGGTCAAGGGAGGGGGCGGAGGGAGAACCAGGAGCTGAGACCTGGAACCGAGACACCGTTCTTGGTCGACTCTTCATCCCCACCCCAACCCACAACTCTCTCTTCTCTTCACAGACTTTGTGGCCGGGGTGCCCAAAGGGAACCTCACTTACGGTTATGTAAGCCCCCCCACCCCCACCCCACCCCCTCCCCGCCGCCCTTCATCACAGAGAACCTTGTATGGTAGCGTGTGAGGGTTCAAAAGCAGGGTGGGACGGGGCGCTGGGGTCAGAGCTGGGTTCAAATTCAGGTACTTTTTCTGGGTGTGTCACTGTGTCATTTCTTTACACCCCACTTCGTTCGGTAAAAGCCCCAGGCCCGCTTAACCTCATTCTTCTCTGTAGAATGGGATAATAATAGTTCTGACCTCCAAGGCTCTTGCAGGATGAGATGAGATAATGCATGTGAAAGTACTTGGGGACTGTTAGGCAACTACCCTGTAGCTGTTATTATTAGACCTTGACCAGGGCTTTGAAAAGGATCCAGATAAGGATGCCGCTGCAGTTTGGCTAATTAGCAGCACTTATTGAAGCAAGGTAAGAGATAAGATGAATAAGACATCACGCTCCATCTCGGAAGGTGCCTCTCATTAAGGGTGTAAAAGGAGACACCCCACGGGTCTGATCTAAGGTGGAGCCGCTCTTCACCGCTCCTCTGTGCTTCGGGCACTGTCTCCTCATGGCCTCTGTTCTGTGCAACAAGCTTATGGGGGTAGATACTGTCACCCACGTTTTATACATAAGGAACTGGGCCTCCCCGGTGGCACAGTGGTTGAGCGCTGGGTTGCGAAGCTGCCTGTGGCCTCTGCGGCACCGGTTCGATCCCCGGCTGCTCCCCGGCCACCGGAGGAGGGTCCCGCGCAGACCTCTCCTGCCGCCCGCTGCTCCCCTCAGCAGTGGACTTCGGTCCTTCTGCCTGCTCTGCTCCCCGCTCTGGCTCTGGTGAATTCTCTCACCCTCCCGTGCTTCTGACTGTACCCAGTGCTTGTATAAACAAAACAAACAAACAAATAAATAAATAACATGCCTCTATAAAAAAAATATATATATATATCTACATAAGGAACTGAGGCTTTCAGGGGCCACGCAAGTTGTTTAAGATCACCCGGGTGATGACTGCAAAGGGATTTCCAATCAGATCTTTCTTCTTCCAAAGACATCAGTCTTTTTTTTTTTTAAAGATTTATTTTTATTTATGTGTGCATATAAGAGCTGGGGTGCAGGCCAGAGGTGCAGGGGGTGAGAGAATTCACCAGAGACAGAGTGGGGAGCAGAACAGGTGGCTCTACTGAAATCCACTGCTGAGGGGAGTAGTGGGGAGACAGGAGAGGTCTGCCGCGCCATGTGGGTAGCTCCTTGGCCAGGCCGAACTCACAGTGGCTGCCAATAGCTTGACAGTGCTGAGACTTAACCCCTTGCGCCACCAGGGAGGCCCGGTCTTCCTGCACTGTGATAAATGTTCGAAGAGCAGTTGAGGCCATCTAGCAATTTAGGGGAAGGAATAACCTTTCCACTGTGGGGCTGGATCAGAGGAGGCTCTGGGAAGGATCGGTGAAGGTGAAGGCCGAGTCTCCTAGTGGGGACATGAGAAAAGGTCCTGAAGTAAACGGCGATAAACGCAGTGCCCAGAGCGGCAGGCTCGCGGGCTGACAGAGGCTGCAGAGGATAAGAAAAGGTTGAGCCAAAGGTCGGGGCCAGATTCCCCAGGGCCTCAGAGGACCAACCAGGAAGTTGAGACATTGAACAGTGGTTGCTGGGGAGCCAGGGGTGTCCTTCTAGGCTCCCCTCAGTCCATTTGCTGGGGCAGGGGAAGGGAGGCCGAGGGCATGCCCAAGGCTGGAGTTGGCCAAGGGACGGCCAGCTCCAGGAGTAGCACCCAAGTAACAGTAGCCCGCGTGGGAAGCCGGCGGAGCAGGGAGCCAGCGGCTGGGCGGTGGGCGCACTGCTGAGAGAGAACACGGGGTGCTGCCAGTGTGGCCGGAGGATGAGCATGACCGGGCTCCGGGCACGCATCCGGTCGTGCAGCTGATAATTATCGAGTGTTTCTGCTCCCCAGCAACTACTTTAGATTCTGGGGGGGAAACAAAGAACAAGGTCCGGTTCCTGCCCCCACTAATCTTCACCCTGGTGTGTTGAGATGGGCAGCGGCCAGATAAGTTCATCTGCCAGTAGCTGGTGAGTGATAAAACTAGTGACGTTGCCTTGGGATGGAGACACGCAGTGGAGAGAGGGGAGCACAGTGGAGAGAGGGGAGCGTGAAGGCAAAGCCCGGGAGATTTGGGGGCAAGTGGTCCCCAGAGAGTGCCTACCCCTAGGATCCTCTGCCCCTCTCCCCTGCGTCCCCGGGTGGTCTGGGAGTCCGGGATCGACCATATCTCCTCATCCCCAGGTCACCATCCTTAATGGCTCAGACATCCGATCCCTCTACAACTTCTCAGGGGAACAGGTGAGCACTCTGCACCCTGGCGTGGCCCTCTGCCAGCCAAGCCCCAGCCCCGACCCAGTCAGCTCAGCAGCCCAAATTCTCAGCTCCCCGGACTGTCTAACCTCCCTCTTGTGAGTCTCTGATCAGCCCTGTTGGTCCTGCCTGTTGACCCCCTCGTTCTGACCCTGTGCTCCCCCCCAGATGGCCTCCTACTTTGGCTATGCAGTGGCTGCCACGGACGTCAATGGGGACGGGTGAGTAGTGAGAAAGGACTCGCACCATGATCCCTTCCCAGACCAGGGGGGAAGAGTAGGGGCGAGACAGGAAAAGGAAGGAAAGCTCTTTCCAGGCTTTTTTTCTGGGTCCTGCTCATTCATGCGTTTACTTTCCATGAGCAAGGGAAGAGCTGACAGCCCCACTCCAGGAGACCTCAGGTCGTGGGCGGGAGCTTGGGCTGCAGGATGCCAGGGTGTCCCGCTCCTGCTCTGGGATTGGGCAGGGGCGGAGCGAGACCAGGCCTCAGGGTGTCTGGGTTTCCCTGCCCCCCAGGCTGGATGACTTGCTGGTGGGGGCACCCCTGCTCATGGCGCGGACAGCCGACGGGCGGCCGCAGGAGGTCGGCAGAGTCTACATCTACCTGCAGCACCCGGCGGGCATGGAGCCCACACCCACCCTCACCCTCACTGGCCATGATGAGTTTGGCCGTTTTGGCAGCTCCTTGACCCCCCTGGGGGACCTAGACCAGGATGGCTACAATGGTGAGAACCAAGGAGCGGAGGAGCAACCAGGGGCCTGGGTCAGACGGGGTTGGGGGAGGCGAGGATGCCCAGACTGATGGTGACCCCCAAGCGTATGCTTAGACCTTCGACCCAATGCCTGAGCCTTGGGGTTTGAACAAATGACAATCCTGGGGACTCTGGGTGACGGATCTGGGCCCCAGGGGCGGTGGTAGAAATTCAGACTCTGGAATTCCTGGCCTGCTGACTGCTGTGCGCTGTGTTCTTGCAGATGTGGCCATCGGGGCTCCCTTTGGAGGGGAGACCCAGCAGGGAGTTGTGTTTGTGTTCCCCGGGAGCCCCGGAGGGCTGGGCTCTAAGCCTTCCCAGGTCCTGCTGCCCCTGTGGGCCCCTGGCCACAGCCCCGACTTCTTTGGCTCTGCCCTTCGAGGAGGCCGCGACTTGGACGGCAACGGATATCCTGGTGAGTTAGGTGCCCTGGGGAGCTGTGCACTGGGCCCCTTTCACCTTCGAGGCCCCTTTCACCTTGGAATTCCCAGATTCCAGGGTCCAGACCCTCACCAGCCCGCCCTCCCTGTCTGCTGAGCTCCTGGGTGCGGTGCTGAGACGTCGCCAGCAGGTGGCGGTGTCCTCTCACTGCCGCCGCCTTGCCCTGAAACCAGAAGGGGCTTTAGGAAGGGTCCTGATTTGGGGCTTGCCTCAGGGGTAGTTTCTTGACTTCTTGCAGATCTGATTGTGGGGTCCTTTGGCGTGGATAAGGCTGTGATGTACAGGTATGAACTCCCGGTGGGGGCAGCCAGGGAAGTGGAAACTGGGATAGTTCCCAATGGGGCTGAAGTTGGGAAAACCTGAGGCTTGGGCCTCAGCTTTCTGTGCCCAAGTTCTGAGTTCTGTTAACCCTACACCCACTCTTGGCAGGGGTCGCCCCATCGTGTCTGCCAGTGCCTCCCTCACCATCTTCCCAGCCATGTTCAACCCAGAGGAGCGCAGCTGCAGTTTGGAGGGGAACCCCGTGGCCTGGTGAGCTGAGCCCAGATTGCAGGGCCAAGTCTGGGGTACCGCAGCCTGTGCTGGGGGAGCGTCGGGGGACCAGGTCTGCCTTAGGAAGGGAACTGAGGAGGGTGTCCTAGTCTGGGTCTGTCTGGGAGGCAGGTGGAAGACAGGACGCTTGCTCCGGTTGGAATCACCAACTTTCTTCTTGGTCTTCCTCTAGCATCAACCTCAGTTTCTGCCTCAACGCTTCTGGAAAACACGTTCCTGACTCCATTGGTGAGGGAACTATCTGGATTTCCCAGGCACTGGGACAGAGGGTGGAGGGGCTGGGGACCTCTGTTGCCTCTGAATAAATCAGGAGGGACAGACAGTCTCCCCTTAACGTACATCCTGGCTGCAGGCTTCACGGTGGAGCTGCAGTTGGACTGGCAGAAGCAGAAAGGTGGGGTACGGCGGGCACTGTTCCTGGCCTCCAGACAGCCCACCCTGATCCAGACCCTGCTCATCCAGAATGGGGCCCGGGAGGACTGCAGAGAGATGAAGATCTACCTCAGGGTATGGCCTGGCAGGGAACAGACTGCACTGGGGCGGGGGATACCCACGCAGAACTGCAGGCCCCTCCTGAGGGAAGGAGACCAGGAAATGCTAGTGAAGGGCTTGGGGCTCTGGGGGGCCAAGGTAGGGGTCCTCCTGTGGGAGGAGCGGGGAACCAAGCCGCCAGGGCCTCTGAAACAGCGAGCCCCGTCCACCCGGGACGCGTGGAGTCTCGCAGACTCTGAGCAGATGCAGGGAGCCGTGAGTGGCTGAGGAGCAGGGCACCGAGCCCCCGTGTCTGTCGACTCCTGACCCATCTCCTGGTCCTAGAACGAGTCAGAGTTCCGGGACAAACTCTCCCCGATTCACATCGCCCTCAACTTCTCCCTGGACCCCCAAGCTCCCGTGGACAGCCACGGCCTCCAGCCAGTCCTACATTACCAGAGCAAGAGCCGCATAGAGGACAAGGTGAGGACGTGGGGGTCAGGGGGGGCCGGGCCCCTGCGGCAGGGCCCGCCTGAGGGTGGGGAGCCTACAGCCCAGGGGGGCTAACTCCCCCTCTCACGGCTGCCCTGCTTCCCAGGCTCAGATCCTGCTGGACTGTGGCGAGGACAACATCTGCGTGCCGGACCTGCAGCTGGAAGTGTTTGGGTAAGTGAGGCTGACGTCCAGCTGGGGGTTCCGGATACCGGAGTCCCATCGCAGGCCATATGGGTCTTGGGAGCATCTGGCACCTAGAAAAGCAGAGCAAGGATGTGCTAGCCAGCTGTGTGGCCTCAGGGAGTGACTTGGTTCTCGGAGCTTCACCTGAACAGCAGTGAATCCCAGCTTCTGCTCCCCTAGCTTTCTGGAAGCATTAAAGGAAGCGTCGAGCCTAATGTGTGTCATTATAGTTGGAACTCTGTCAGTGGGGTCTGTTATTATTTCTTATTGCTTTAAAGATTTATTTATTTATGCATGCAAGAACTGGGGTACAGGCCAGAGGTGCGGGGGTGAGAGGATTCACCAGAGACAGAGTGGGGCACAGAACAGGCGGATCCACTGAAATCCACTGCTGAGGGGAGCAGCGGGGAGACAGGAGAGGTCTGCTGCGCCCTGTGGGTAGCTCCCTGGCCGGGGATCGAACTCGTGCTGCAGAGGCTGCCGATGGCTTGATAGTGCTGAGACTTACCCCCTGCGCCACCAGGGAGGCCCTCTGTTATTATTTCTTTATGATGACTATGACGGTCCATTGTTCTGTTTGGGGGTTGATTCCCCTACACCCTTATGCTGTGCACCCCTCCAGGGAGCAGAACCGCGTGTACCTAGGTGACAAGAATTCCCTGAACCTAACTTTCCACGCCCAGAACGTGGGTGAGGGCGGCGCCTACGAGGCTGAGCTTCGAGTGACAGCTCCTCCAGAGGCTGAGTACTCGGGGCTCGTCAGACATCCAGGGGTGAGAGGGCACCCTGGACTGGGCTTGGGAGGGAGCCCCTCGAGGACACCAAGCCCTTACCTGGGCATGCGCCTCCTCCAGAATTTCTCCAGCCTGAGCTGTGACTACTTTGCCGTGAACCAGAGCCGCCTGCTGGTGTGTGACCTGGGCAACCCCATGAAGGCAGGAGCCAATGTAAGTCTGGGCAGGAGAGAGGACCGTGACTAGCCTGGCCAGAGCAGGGCTGTGGGACTGGGCCGGAGGGTGCAAATTGGGGTGAGACAAATGCCCAGTGTAGCTGTGTAACAGCCCCCCTTCTCCCTGCCTGCCCCTCAGCTCTGGGGTGGCCTTCGGTTCACAGTCCCTCATCTCCGGGACTCCAAGAAAACCATCCAGTTTGACTTCCAGATCCTCAGGTAGGGAGTGGCTGAGCTGGGGTCTGGCTGAGAGGGCGGGACAGCAGGGGCGAAGCCTCCCCCCTGAGTTTTCATTGGCTGGTCTTCAGCGCCACCTGCTTCCCTCCCCACAGCAAGAATCTCAACAATTCGCAGAGTGACGTGGTTTCCTTCCGGCTCTCAGTGGAGGCTCAGGCCCAGGTCTCCCTCAACGGGTCAGTGTGGGTGCCTGGACAAAATGGGGCCCTTCTGGCAGGGGAGACAGATTTCCAGGAAAGGATGCTATGGGGTCTCTAAACCGCCTTCCTCCTAGTGTCTCCAAGCCTGAGGCAGTGCTGTTCCCCGTGAGCGACTGGCATCCCCGAGACCAGCCCCAGGAGGAGGGGGACGTGGGCCCTGCCGTCCACCATGTCTACGAGGTGAGGGGGACAGAGGCTGGGCCCCAGGTGGGAATGAACGGGGAGCAGGATTTGCTAGTAGGAATTACAGATGGCTGGGACCAGGGTGGGGGGGCTGAGAAAAAGAGGGGGCGGAGGGAGTGGCCTGCAAAGGCCTGGGCTGGGAGGTGTGAGCCACAGGCCAACGGGGTGACCTGGGAAGGAAGGTGGAGCCGCCATCCAAAGTGTTGACTGGGGGCCTCTTGTCTCTGCTCCCTGGTTCCCTCCTTCACTCCTGAGGGAGGAGACTCCCCGCTGGGCAGAGGGGCTGTGGTGACCAGGGTTTCGCGGGCACAGTCGCCCCCTTCTCCTGGTGATGGCTGTGCTCTCCCCTCTGCAGCTCATCAACCAGGGCCCTAGCTCCATCAGCCGGGGCGTGCTGAAGCTCAGCTGCCCCCTCGCCCTGGAAGACCAGCAGCTCCTCTACGTGACCAGGGTCACGGGGCTCAGCAACTGCACCGCCAGCCACCCCCCCAACCTGCAGGGTCTGAAGGTGAGGCTGACCGGGGGAGCGGGCAGGTTCTGAGGCGCAAGCCTGAGAGGGTGGGGAGGTCCCTGGAGGCCTGGAAGAGCCAGTGAGGATGTGCCCGAGCTGGGAGGGAGGCCACTGGAAGGGGTCCCGGTCCCAGGAGGGAAGAAGATTCTTATATACTTGAAATATTCTTCTATACTGAAATCTCCTCCTCTCTCTTCTCCCCCTGGCGCTCACATGGGGCCCAGCTCTACGCCACCTCCTCTGGGGAGCCTTCTTCAGACCCGTTCCCCTGAGTCCCAATGCCTGTTTTGTTTTTCCTAAGATTTACTTTATTTAGTTATGCATACAAGAACTGGGGTGTAGGCCAGAGGTGCCGGGGGTTGGAGACTCGCCAGAGACAGAGTGGGGAGCAGAACAGGCAGACTGACCGAAGTACACTGCTGAGGGGAGCAGCCAGGAGACAGGAGAGGTCTGCTGCGCCATGTGGGTCAGCTCCCTGGTCGGGGATCGAGTTCATGCCACAGTGGCTGCCAATAGCTTCATAGTGCTGAGACTGAACCCCTTGGGCCACCAGGGAGGCCCCCTAATTATTTATTCCACGTAAACCCCAAGGACCAAGTTTAATTCGTTCCCATTTTTCAATGCCGAGCTTGGTGCCGTGGCGCAGGAGGTGGCGAGCTGGATGGATGAAAGGATCCACGCTCTGGAATACTCCGAGCCCCGGCGTAGATGACTTAGATGCTGCATTGAGGAGGGAGAGGCAGCTAAGGGTCTCTTTCCTCTTGCAGTTGGATCCAGAGGCTTCTCAGCACCACCAGCTGCAACGCCGGGAGGCTCCGCACCGGGGCCCTGCCCCCGCCGGGCCCAAGATCCTGGTGAGCGGCGCTGGGCGGCGTGTAAACCTTGAGGGTGCAAGCCCTGACCGGATTGGGTTCTCAGAGCCACCAGAGAAGCAAAACTGTGGATTCAAGACTTTTTTCCTTCCCAGAAATGCCCGGAAGCCAAGTGTTTCACGCTGCGCTGTGAGCTGGGGCCGCTGCACCGGCAGGAAAGCCGCAGTCTGCAACTGCATTTTCGAGTCTGGGCCAAAACCTTCCTGCATGTGAGGACACCTTCCCTCAGCCCTGACCTCCGACCCTGCCTGGCTGACCCTCTGTTTCCCCACACCCTAGCACGGCCTTTGGGAATGAGAGCCGGGCGCGCCAGCTCCCCTCCCTCCCCTTGTGTAGACAGGGCTGTGAGTCTCCGGCACCACCTAGTGGCCGCACTGGAGTGACAGCCTCTCTTTCCTGGACCGTTCAGAGAAGGAGAGTTTGGAGGGCCCTGGGTGTGCAAGCAGGATAGAACAACAGAGACGGAAGAGGCAGGCAGGCAGGCGCAGGAACAGTAAAAGGAGCCCTTCACTGAGCGTATGCAACCAGCCAGCCATTGTCTCGGGTGCTTGACCCACGTTAATGACTCAAAAAAATATTGTTGAACAAGCAGTCATCTAATTATGCAATAGTCCATTCTACTTATTTAATCATACATTTATTACCTTTTATAAGGAACGTGGAGATTCAGGGGGGAATGAGTCCAAAATTGGGAAAGATTATGACCTGTTCCAGAACATGGGGGCCCCCATGTCCTCTAGCTCCCCCAAGAGGGGCTGCCCTGAACACCTTTCCCTCCCCCGCAGCGAGAGCACCAGACGTTTAACCTGCAGTGTGAAGCTGTGTATGAGGCCCTGAAGATGCCCTACCGAATCCTGCCGCGGCAGCTTCCTCGAAAGGAACTTCAGGTAAGTTCAGGACCAGAGGTCTGGGCCACGGAAGACAGGACTCAGAACCAGGCCTGACCCTAGGACAGGGACCGGGTGGGACTGGCCTTATCGCTGTAACTAATATTACTCAGCATCTGTGCCAGGTGCTGGGCATAGAATGGTAAGCAAGCGGGACAGGGTGTCTTCGCTCCAGCAGTGTTCATCTCCCAATGGCAGCGACAGGGGCGCAACAGGTGTGAGGGTGTTCATGGGACACATCACAGGTGCACTTGAACACTACCTTTCACAGCCAGGAAGGGCTTTCTGGAAGAGGCGATGTTTAAGCTCTAGCCTGATGATATAATAAATAGGAACTACTAGACTAACCAATCAGGAAAGGAATCCTCTCTGCTGAGAGGGCATTAGCAGGTGCAAAGCCCCAAAAGTCAGAGACAATAATGCACATTATTGGAACTTAACTTTTGAAGTTCAGAATTCTCTTAGCACAAAATGGAAGATGAGATTAGGCCTGGGTTCAACAGCAAATAGAAACCAAGTACAGGGTGGAAGAACTAATGGATTTTCAGTGACCATTCCTGACTTGCTCCCCAGGTGGCCACGGCTGTGCAGTGGATCAAGGCAGAGGGCAGCCAGGGTGTCCCGCTGTGGATCATTATCCTAGCCGTCCTCTTCGGTCTCCTGCTCCTCGGTCTGCTCATCTACATTCTCTACAAGGTCAGCCACATCCTATCCAGGACCGGGCCAGCCTGTCCTCGGGCTGTCCCCCAACCCAATATAGTCCCGAGTATCTATTTCCAGGCCAGTTTTGTAGGCATGTGCCCCTATCTGTGCCCTGGCCTCATGCCTCCCATCTTGACCCTGCCTCTGGGATCCTTCCCTTCATTCTATAGCCCTGGCTTAGAAAGTCTCTTGACTCAGAAACTTACAGGCTTGCCTATACTTGCAAATCACTATTACCTGCAGGTTGCAAATATGTAGCATCTATGCTGTCTCTTCCTCCAAGGTGACAGCCATCACTAATTGACCATACCCTAGCAGTGGCCTCAGAATCCTTCTCAAGAGGCAGCTGCTGCTAAGCAATCCAACTTGGCTTGGGTTCAAACCTATTTGCCATCCCTGGCAAAGTGAGGGCATTTCTATGGCACTGATGAAAAACCCCCATAGACCTAAGCAGCCCAGCGTTAGCCGTCCTCGCCCACTGGACCTCCTGGAGAGGTCTTCTGCCAGAGGGAGGCTGGGAGCATTGAATCCTCTTCATTTCATCTTGGAATAAGATCTGGAGAGAAGAGGGAGCCAGTGTATCTAAACTCTCCCCCCCCCTTCCCCCTCATTAGCTCGGATTCTTCAAACGCTCCCTCCCATACGGCACCGCCATGGAAAAAGCTCAGCTCAAGCCTCCAGCCACCTCTGATGCCTGACTCCTCCCAATCCCAGAATCCCAGTCCTGAAGGCCCAGTCCCCCACACCCTCAGTCTACTGAAAGGGAGGGGGCTGGGTGCTTCCTGAAGGTGCTGAGGGCCAGGGAGAAATTTCTCCCCAGCCCAGAGACATACTTGAAGGGCCAGAGCCGGGGAGGTGAGGAGCTGGGGACCCCTCCCCCCATGCACTGTGAAGGACCCTTGTTTACACATGCCCTCCTCATGAATGGGGGAACTCAGATCCAGGGACAGAGGCCACAGCCTCCTGCAGCCTTTGCATTTTGGAGAGAGTTTCCTAAAAACAACTTGGAACCATAACTGGGAAATCCAGCCCCAGTTCTCTGGGCCAGATGTGTCACCGGGACTTCCTGTTCAGCTCCAGCCTGCAAAGATTTGTCCCTAGCCTTGCCAGAGATCCACACAAAGCCCCTAGCGAAGAACCTGAACCCTGGGGAGTGAGATCTGGCAGCTCTGGACAGCCCCCACCCTGGCGGGCCAACAAGGAACACTAACGACGGACGGTGCCCCACGCCGAGCTCAGGAGAGAATCCCCAACAAGGATCGATGCTGGCCCAGAACCAACTCGAAGGGGAACCAGAACTCTAATGGGGCCAGACTGAACCTGGGACCTACGAGTGAACCCCCAGATGCAAACTTTGTAACTTAACCAGCCGTGTCCAGGACTACATTGAGTTTGCTCCAGAAGACCTGGGCCTGGAGGCCCAACCCACACCTGACTCGGGAGGAATCAGAAATTGCCCAGGACCCTGAAGAGACCATGATGGCAACATTTCTGGAACCTCAGCCTGGCCAGACACAGGCCCTCCCAGTTCCCTGGAGTAAGGGGAGTGCTCTGTCCCGGGCCTGCAGGATTTAGGTTCTGCCCACCAGCTGCACTGATGCTGCCCCTCCTCTTCCTGTCCACCCCTCCCCTCACCTCAGCTCGGGACACCCGGGACTTATTTAAACTCTGTTGCAAGTGCAATAAACCCGGCCCGGCGCCCCTACTGACCAGAGCTGGAATCTGTGTCTTATCCCACTCTTTTTTTCCCCAAGATTTATTTATTTATTTATGCACACAAGAACTGGGGTACAGGCCAGAGGTGCGGGGGTGAGCAGATTCACCAGAGACAGAGTGGGGATCAGAACAGGCAGAACAACCAAAGTACACTGCTGAGGGGAGCAATGGGCCAGACAGGTGAGGTCTGCTGTGCCATGCAGATAGCTCTCTGGCCAGGGACCTAACGTGTGCTGCAGAGGCTGCGGACAGCTTCACGGTGCTGTGCTTAACCCTTGCGCCACCAGGGAGGCCCTTATCCCACTCTTTAAACCCATCCTGAAACCACATGGCGTGGTGGATTGGAAATGGCTTTCTCACAGCTTCTTCCCACCGGGAGCCAGGAGTATGACCCCCCAGGATCAGTGTTTGCATTCCCTTCTGCTCAGTGATAGAGCCCCTGGAGGAGAGAAGGGGGACTTGCCTACTGCGAGCCTGTCACCCGGCCCCCACCCAACACCTTCGGGGCAGGGAAAGGAATCCCTTCTCTGCAGACTTGAGGATTAGGCAAGAATAAGGAAAGGGAGGTCCAAGTAGGAGGCGCTGGTCCGGAAGGCTGCTCTGGCTTTCCCTAAGTCAGGATAATGGACGATGTCCCAGTGGTGACACCACAGAACTAAGTCAGGAGAAAGTCAGGTTTTGTTTTGCTTTTGTTGCATCTTGTATGCGGGTGGCAGAAGGGGTGTTAAATGCTTTCCGTGGTTCTCTCATTGAATGTCGCTCAGCAATCCTGTGAAATAGGCGCTGTCAACCACCACCAAGAGGGGAAATTAAGGCCCGGGGGGTGGTAACTCTCCCGAGGTCACGTGGTGACTGCCCAGCCTTGACTGTGAAAGTTCTCGTTCTTAAACCACACGCCATAGGGTTTGGGTCTTTGGTGAGAAATAAAGGCGAAGAGGCCCCTAGAGTCGCCTCCACAGCTGCCCTTGCCTGCAGCCAGAGGAAGGAGGAGGTTGTGGGAGCTGCTTGCAAGGGTCAGGGTCAGAGGCAGAGGCCCCGAGCTCCCGTCTCACCTGCTAGGCCCAAAGCAGCCTGCAGAGGGCAGCAGTCGCGGACTGAGGGGAATTTGGGGAAGGGAGCGCATGAGATCCACCTTCTGCCCTTCCCCTACCACCAGGGCTAGTCTGATGGACAGAACCCACGAATGAAGAGGGGCTGGCAAGACCGATAAGGCAAAGAGCAGGATTCCCCAGTTGGCAGCTGTGGCAAAACACGGCATTGGGAATCTCAAGGAAGGAAAATCCCATCGCCCCCCCTTGGGGGAGGGGCAGGACTGGCATCAGCCAAACTCCAGGCGCCAGATCTGAGGTTTCTCACTCGTCTGTGAGAAGGAAATGAGGAAGGGAAAGTGGGCTGTGAGCCTCGGGCTGGTGACCGGGGTGTGTCTCTGGAGCGTGCCTGTACCTCTGAGTCTCCGAAGAGGGACACCGCCCCTCCCGAGGATGCACAGCACAAGGAAGGGGTTCCTGGGGCTCAGAAATGCCACAGATGCGACCTAGCGCCAGCCTCTCTGTCCCTGAGCCGTAATTCTCAGACTCCAGTCCGTTTCCCTCTCAAATCTCCCAGCCCCTGCAGACTAAAAGTCTGCCTCCCGTCTTGAGACCTGAGTGGTCCAGGGGGACAGGAGGGTGGGGAGGGGAGGGGCTGCTGAGAGGCCTGAGTTCTATCCTTGCTGTTGTCAGTAGAAATGGAAAGGAGGCCCCCTAGAAGGAAACAGAGCAGCTGGGGGTTCAGAGAGGGGGAGGGGCTCAGGAGAGGCAGCTGGCAGGCGGGAAGCTGATCTGGGGGTCTCAAGTTTCTTGACATCAATTAGAGCAGCCGGCCTGAGCTCATTAGTAGCCCGGGGTGCAGGGCTCATCAATAATGAATTCACCCTGCACACTGTCCCCCCCCCCAGCTGCCTGCAAGGTCACCCCACCCTCCAGCCAACTGCATCCCCTTGGTAAGCTGAGCATCCCCACCTCTGAGACTTCCCGAACTCTGAGTCCCTGGGGGCAGCATGGGAGGGGGGACAGGCCCAGGGCAGAGGGGTCTCACTGATCAGCCATGCTACTGCCTGCTTGTTCTCAGAATCCATTTGGGAGAGAGAATGGGGTGAGGCGAGGTGAATGTACGTGGGGGTGGATGAGACACCTGGGAGGAAGGTTTGTGACCCCTGGGGTGAATGGCCTGGGAGCGAGAGAAACGCCTCTGATGGGCTCCAGAACCCACCTTGTCCCCCAAGGCCAGGTGTGGGCAGCAAGGCTCAGTCCCTGAGATCTGGAGACCTCTGGGTGACAAGGCCTGCCCCCCTCCAGCATTTTCCTGCCCTTGGGCTAGAGCATTTGGCAGGTGCAGAAACAGATCTTTCCCAAACGAAATCAGTGGAGTGAGGGCAAGAGACTGCTGAGGCCCAGAAATAGGAACTTGAACTTCCTGTAACTAAACTAGACATTTAGTCCTAACTTCCCCCCAGAACCCAGGAGTGCCAGCCCCCAGCCCCCTTCCTAGACTGCTCCCCAGCACTAGTCTGCCACCCTCCCACTGACCTCTTCCTCCCTGTCTCCACCCTCCCTAAATCCCGGGTGTTCTAGTTCCCAGTCACACCTCTTTCCCTCTGCCTGGGGTTGGCCTGAAGCTGGCTGCTTGGCATTCTGGGAGCTCCTCCTGCCACCCTCTCTTGGGGCAGGTACAGACAGGTCCAGGCTGCAGCAGCTGCATCATCCCCAGACACCTCCCAGACTCCCAGACTCCAGCTTCCCGCTGGGGCTGCAGTTGCCCATCCTCAGTCAAGTCCCCCCGCTGGCACTTAGAACACACCCCGGCCTGTTCTCCTGCGCCCCTGACATTCTCCCCAGCCCAGACATTCTGTCCCAGCGCCACGCTCCTTGGCATCTCCGCACACCCCCCTACCAGTCCTCTTCACACCAAGCCGGCCCGGGTAGGGGATGCCCTGGGTCCAGGCCCTGCACAGGTGCTGCCCTCCCGTCCCAGCCCAGGTCTTTCTCCAGGGCTGGTTCTCGGCCCTGGCTGGCCTGGCTGGCCTGGCTGCCGTCCTCTGGTTCCGGTGATGGTCTCCCTCGCCAGCTGCTTTTTCTACCACTGTGGGTCCATCGACCCCAAATCTCTTCACTCAGACCTTCCCCAAGGAACCGGGCGTCCGAGCCCCATCCCCCGGGTCCACCTGCACCCTGCGTCTCTCCTCTGAGCCCCAGACTCGGGCTCCGAAGTCAGAGAAGCGAAGTGGCACCCAAACGTTCCCTGGCACCCCCCGCCGGCCCATGCCCGGAGCAGGCGGCGCCCCCCAGCCCAGGCCCCGTGCGGGACCCGGCGGCGCCCACCTCGCGGCCGGCGAGGACCAGCGTCCAGAGCCCGGGAGGCTCAGCCTGCAGCGCGCTCGCCGCCGCACCCCGTCTCGGGATGTCCGCGCGCGCCCCCGCGCCGCCGCTGTGCACCCCAGATCCAGGACACCCGGGCCGCGGCGGGGGAGCCCGGGGGCAGGACGCCCCTCCCGGCCCGGCCCCTCCTCCCGCCTCACCTGCTGCGGGCCCCGCCCCGCCCCGCCCCGCCGGCCTGCGCTCCGCCCCCGGCTCCTCCCCCCGCACCCCAGCCCGACCGGAGCGGCCCCCGGGACAGAGCGACGCGGAACCCCGGGCGCCGGGTCCCCAGCATGATCCTCGGTGAGTGGGCGCCGCGGCCGCGGCCCCCGGGCCCCCCGGCGGGTCACCCCGAGCTCCCGGCCCCCGGGACTGCGGCCGCCCTCCGCCCCGGCTCCCCTCCCCCTCATCTGGCTCCACATCTGGGGTCGCGTCTTCTGCGCCCCAGGCCTCCGCTGCTCGGGGTGACCTCGCGAGTGCGGCAGGGGGAGGCGGAGGCGCGGGACCCCCGCCCCAGAGGCGATGCGCGTCTTCACGGGGCTCATGAATACTGGATGACCGGCCACGCGGGCGGGGGGCCCGGCCTGCGGCGCCGCGAGGTGCGCCCCGAGCCCCCCGCCGCGCCGGCCTCCGCGCGCCGCCCGCGCGCCCACGGCCCGGACCCCGAGGGGGGAGGAGGAAGTGGGGGGCGGGGTGGGGAGAAGATGGTGGGTGCAGCGTCGGGGAGGGTGTGCGGGGAGGTGGGGACCCGCGGGCTGGAGGCTGGGGGGCCGGGGCAGAAGGGTGGGAAACTGTCCATCCCGGGCCCTGCGGCGGGGCCGGGCTCCGCAGCCATCCTGCCCCGGCACGCCGGGACCTGCCCCGCTCCGCGCTCCGCCGCCCCGGCCCTGCCTCCTGCCCTCCTCCTGCCTCTCCCCCGCCTCCCCCACCCCTGCCTGGGGCCCGGGGCCACAGGAGAGTGGGGGGCTCGGCAGGGTAAGGCTGGGGGAGGGGCGCCCCCTCTGGGCCCCGACAGCCCTTCAGCCACAGCCACCCCATCCTCATGACCTAGATGGGAAGGGAGCCCTGGGGGGAGGGGCCTCGTGCACTAGACTCTCCGCTCACTCCAGGCCCCTGCCCGCCACCCCCCTCCACGGCGGTCCCCCGGCCTCTCTGTCCTCTGGCCTGGGCGCCCCCAGCCAGGCCTGGACACCTGTGGTCTCCCTGCCCCCCAGGGGGACATCTGGCCCCAAGCTGGTGCGCTGGGCTGGACGGCTCCGGCCTGGGCCCTCTGCTGCGTCCCTGCCAGCCTCTGGCTTTTCTTCTCTCATTTGACCCCTGTCGCCTTCCACGAGCAGTGTCTCTTCCCCCCTCTGCCCGCCTTTCCCTGTCTCTTCTCACCCCCGCTGCCTCTCCTCACTCTCGTCGCTGATGCCTGCCCCCTCCGCCTGGCGCCGGCTCCACTAGGAAATGAATGAGTGAACGGAGCCATGAATGACTGGATGTCGGCCTCCTTCCCAAGGGCTCCTCTAGCAGGGCAGCGGCTCTCCGTCCACCTGCGGGGGACTGTCCCCACCCTCGAGTGACCCCCACCCACACGCCCTGGACTAGGTGCCCAGAGCACAGGCTCTGCCTTCCTCCATCCCCTGCAATCCCTGTGCCCTGGCTCCACCCTGGGCACAGGCCCCGAAGGCAGCTCCGTGCTTGTCCACAACCGGCCGTGGGAGCCTCCCTCCCCTGCCCTCAGGAGGACTGGGGACCTGCTCATGGGCTGACTCAGACCCCACCCAGGGAGAGTGCCTGAGTCCAAACTCTCTGAAACTGGACCCTCCACCACCGATTGGACCCCCGCCACGTCTCCCCAGAGGCCACTGTCATTTATCCCCTCTTGGTGCTAAGCCCACAGAGGGGTGGGGAGCCTGGCAGCCTGCACAACCTGACCCTCTTTAGGGAAAGGAGAGAGGAAGGATGCTGCTGGCCAAAACTCGGGCTGTGCCTTTGGGGTCCAAGCTAAGATTTTCAGGCTCTGAATGCTGAGGTCCGCCACGGTGGCCTTGCCTGGAGGGGAGGCCCGGTCTGCTTGCTTCAGATGCAGACTGCGGGCTCAGGTTTAAGGGAGTGGTTCTGGGCTCCAGGTCGCTGTTCTGGCCCTGGTACCAGGTCCCCTCCAACTGGGCCTCAGGTGTTGGGGGAGGGGCTCATGGAAAGAGGCCCTCTCCCAGCAGGATTTCTCCTGGTCTTCCCTGCTGGCCCTTCCTGGCCACCTCCTCCTCCCTGTAGGCCCTGCCCCCGCCCACATCCGCCCTGGGGTTATTAGGGATGATGTTTTCAGTAGTTCATAATCATCCCCTTATTGCTTTCATCTTTGACTTCAAAGCCTCTCTGGCCCTCAGTCTGCCTCCTGCCAAGAGGGGGGAAATTGAGGCAGAGGGGGGCAGATATATGGGATTTCATCAAGAAGTCAAGGCCCAGGGATTCAGGGCTGTCTCCCTTTCCCCTCCAGCCCCCTTTAGGCATTTTGCGGGGAGGGAAAAGAGGTCAAAAGTCTTGACGAGAAAGAGATGAGGTGGAGATGTGATTCCAGGCCAGGCTGCAACCCGTCCTCCCTTGCCCGAGTCTGGGGGTCACT